CTAGGTAGTTGCCAAAGAGGTTTGCTTTCGCAGTCTTCTTTATTACAGGCCAGGCTCGTCAATTTGTCCTATGTCATTTCAAATCTCTGTCCAAACTTCCAAAACTGATGTCATGAGTTCGTAAAATGAAGATTTCTGAATCCTGGATCGATCTAGAATATCATGTTGCTGTTACAGCCCTATCTCATTGCAGAGACTAAATCACCTTCGGGCAAGACATATACTCGTACTTATATCATTTTTCGATCGATTTTTTGGCATTGATATTGTTGTTTTTATTGATTTTTAGAACAGAACTATGTTATCTATACATATTACTGGTGCCTCTTTCTACTATTTTTGAATGAAAATTTCGAAACAGACTTTTGCTTATGTCTATATAAATTTGGTGAGTTAGTTGGTGAGAGTGTCATGGCAGTTTTAGGCTATTTAGATCCAACGCTGAGTCAAACATTTTTCCATTGTTGTCAGTCGCTGGATTTACATACCTTTGCCATGAATAGCGACGAACTGCAATGAAACTAGTTTTAAATCATGGAATGGAAATAGGGAGCAACATCAAAGCGTGTTCTCGCTAAATTTTTGACGTCGAGTTTTTTGTAAAGCAATTTTTAAATATTCGGTGTGACGAGTCTGAACTAATTGTGCGATTGCTAAAAACGAAGTCTACGTAGTAGTAGTAGAGACGGTCGCCGTTCCTTGCTAGAAAGAACTGCTAGTGAGTATTCCCAGAGAGCTTGAGAATCCCATCGGTGGACGGAGAGTAGAGCCTTGCTGGAAAGTTTTGCTCACATGTATACCGATGTTTTTCGCTCGACTTGGTCACCTTAGCTGGTACAATAATGTACTGAGAATTCCAAAATTATGCTACGCCTATAAGTAGCATGAATCTCCGAGTATGAAGGGTTAAATTATTGTAGCTCCAAAGTTGTATGAGTAGGTCGGCAGCAGGAGTATCGAAGGCAACAAAACCTCTCCAGTATTAGAAACATTACCCAAAGTGGTGACCTTTAGCTGGAGTCTAGCTTTGTTTTGAACAGACTTCCTTTATTAAAGTTTAGAATTGTTCCTTGGTATCTGTTGAGACATGACCATGATTACAGCATCTATATTATGTCTGAGTCCTATTTCATTAATTAAGTATGAACGATAAACGCTTGCGAGAAAATATAGTGAAAAATATACTGACACGTGATACAATATTGAACAATCAAACATAAAAGTGAAGCGCATTATTCACTGACACCATACGGTTTCCAACAAAAGTTAAAATTGAAAGTTTGTGGGAAACTTTATCAGCAAAGTAGATGTTCGAGCGCAAACTCCTGGAAGGTTCTTTAGACTTTTTTTGATTTGAATCCAGAAATTTTGCTTCTATCTACAAAAGAAATTCTGAAAACTTCGTGCATTTGCGGCAAACGTTGGAGTTAACTTTTTGTATCATTCAATTTAACAATCATTTCGCCTAATAGAAAGTGGACACTCAGTCATAAAACAAATCAACTACGAGCATAATTTAATCAAACTTAATTACTCATTACATATCTATAAAAGATC